AAAAAAAAACAAAGTAAAAACAAGAGCCAGGATGGAGTGCTGTGTGTGTTGGCAACACACCTGTAATCCCAGCACTCGGAGTCTGAGGCAGGAGGATTGCTATGTGTTCAAGGCCAGCCTGGGTTACATTGTGAGTTCAAGGCCTGCCTGGAGTATATATGGTGAAACCCTGTCTCAAAAAAAAAAAAAAAAAAAGTATAGCCAGACAGGAGGCAGGAGGCTCCCAGGTTCAAGTCCAGTATGGGCAACCTAGTAAGACCTATTTCAAAAAAAAAAAAAAAACAAAAGGTAGAGAGGCCTACAAATGTAACTCAAATGCTCCTTGGGTTCAAGAATTAATACCATAGCGCAAGGTCGTGAGTTCGGTTCCTGGTACCAGAGAAAAACCAAAAAAAGAAAAAAAAAAGAATTAATACCATAAACAAAATGAAACAAAACAAACAAAAATAAAAGGAGAGTTAGGAGTGGTAGTGCTCACCTGTAATCCTAGTACCTGGAAAGCTGAGGCAAGAGAATTCTCACATATTTTAGGCCAGCCTGGGCTATGTAGTCAGTTTAAGGTCACCCTAACCTAGAAAGTAAGATTCTGTTTTTTTGTTTTTTTTAAAAAGGCAGAGCTGCTGGGGATGGTAGTACCCGCCTGTAATCCCAGCATTTAGGAGACTGAGGCAGGATTATGGCAGACTTTGAGGCCAGCCTAGGTTACAAAGTGAGCTCAAGGCCAGCCTAAACTATGTAGTAAAACCCTATCTAAAAAAAAAAAAAGCACAACAAAGTCAAAACTAAACAAGAATGAGGTATTAGCTGGGTGAGGTGGCGCATGCCTCTAATGTCAGCACGCGGGAGGATGGGGCAGGAGGATCACCATGGCCTTTGAGGGCAGCATGGGCTACATAGTGAGTTCAAGGCCAGACTCAACAACATAGTGAGACCTTATCTCCAAAAAAAAAAATCAGAAAATGAGGTGAATGTTTAGAATGCCTTTGGTTACAATGATCCAAAATAATCGAGGCATCCTTCATCTAGTAAATAGACAAAGATATACAATGGAGTGTTACTCAGCAGTAAACAGAAATGTGCTACTGGTTTATACCACAACATGAACCTCAAGCTGGGCGTGGTGGCACACTCCTGTAATCCCAGCACTCAGGAGGCTGAGACAGGAGGATTGTTGTGAGTTCGAGGCCAGCCTGGGCTACAAAGTGAGCTCAAGGCCAGCCTGAACTGCATAATGAGACCCTGTCTCAAAAAGACAAAAAACAAAACAAAACAAAACAAAAAAATCCATGAATCTCAAAAACACAAAACTAAGCAAAAGATGCTAGGCTCAAAAGACCACAAGGTCTATGATCCCACTTGTATCTTCATTTTTTTTTTTTTTGGTGGTACTGGGGATTGAACTCAGCGCCTTGTGCAAGCTAGGCAAGCACTCTACCACTGGGCCACATCCCTAGCCCAGATCCCACTTATATCATATTATGAAAAAGGCAGAACTATAGAGAGCAAGAGAATAATAGATCAGTGCTTACAGGTTGGCAGAAGGCACCATAAGGGAAGTTTCTGGCATGATGAAACTTTTTTTTTAAGTACTGAGGACTGACCCCATTGCAAAATTTTTAAAATGAGTGGGGAAGCTGGCTGTAGTGGCGCATGCCTGTAATCTCAGTTACTTGGGAGCCTCAGGCAGCACGATCATAATTTTTTTTTTAATGTATAAGGTGTTAGTAGTATGTATGTATGTATTTATTTTACCAGGAATTGAACTCAGGACCTTACACTTGTCAGGCAGGTGCTTGTGCCGCTAAGCTACATCCCCGGCTGGATGATCATAATTTTGAGGCCAGTTTGGGCAATTTGATGAGACCCTGCCTCAAAAACCAAATACAAAGAAGGGCTGGGGATGTAGTTCAAAGCAAACACCCTGGGTTCAACCCCAATACCACACACAGGTATAAAAAAGTTAAAATGGCGAATTTATATATACTTTATCATAACAAAATATTAAAAACAATGTAGATTATGTTATATATACAAATTATGACTGTTTACCAAGTACCTACAATAGTAGAAAACAATAAAAACTTAAATATTAACCAATAAGGTGTTAGTTAACATTCACATCTAGATAATGAAAAAACACGAGATACAACTGACATGACTCTATTTACACAACCAGGCCCAGGATATGCTGGACAAAAGCTACCGAAGAACAATACAGATAGTCTGTTTTGACAGTTATGCAGAGAAAAAATGTGAGTACACATACCACAAAATTTCTGATCCTACACCCAGAAACGCTACAGTGGCTGGAATTACAGTTGAAGCCTTTCTTCCACTTTACACTTTCTGGATATGGGGACCTGTTACTTTTGTAATCTGAAAAGCAATAAAGCTGAGAAGAGAATAAATAAGGTAACACAAAGAAGTGGGCAGGCAGATCTCAGACAGATGAAGGGAACAGAGGCTCGTGCACAGCCTTCCCTGCTTGACGGCAGCCCCAGCCAATTTGTGAGGGTAGCTCAGCTGTGAGACGGCAGCTCATTTCCTCGCCAGCACCCCTACTCCATCCCAGGCCTACTTGGGTTCGTCCACAGACAGGTGTCAAGAGCCCACTCAGTGCTTCTTACTTAAAAGGCAATTGAGCTGGAGCACTGAGCACATGAGACTGAGACATAGAGAAGCAGCTTCCACACAGGCTGGGCAGCGAAGGAGAAGGCTATGCACAGAAAAGCAGCCCGTGGCTCATTAGGCTGCGGTTTGCCCCTTCTGCAAGGCAGGGCCCTTGGCTCTGTCGGTCGGCGGTGCAGAGCCAGCCCATTCATCACTGTAAATAGCCCAATGAGCCACTCAGCTGCATGGTCATGCCCGACACCCAGCACCAGGTACACCGGGCAGCTGTAGCCTGACACTGACCACTGGGGTGGGTCAACTACTTCTCACATACTGGTCCTTCCTGCACTAAGAAATGAGTGCCTGGCTAACCTGGCATGGGACAGGGACAGGGAACAGGGACCCCCCCACCTAGGCCTATAATGTCACCAGCCCATGACCGCATGGTACCAATGTTACAAAAGCACCACACAAGCTGCGATTTTTAATGATGGCTTTTTAGTTCAGGGCTCTGCAGGTGATTCAAAGAGCAGTGCTGTTGCAAAATGGGTTGGAGCTGGCTAGTATGTACGCGAGGTTCCCAGCCAGAAGTGAAGAAAGGAACTAGGAAGAAGAAACTTTTTTTTTCCTTTTGAGACAGGGTCAAAACAAACACACACACATAGATACTGAGGAAGGCTAGGGGTGTAGCATGGTGGCACACACCTGAATCCCAGCACTATAGCACAATGAGGCAGAACCGTCACAACTTGGAGCTCGGCTTGGGGAACTCAGTGAGTCAGTGAGACCTTACCTCAAAAAGAGAAAAAGTCCCTCAGTGTGAAGGCCCTGGCTTCAATCACCAATAATAAAAAAACGGAGGGAAAAAAAAGGACTGTCAAGAGATTGTAAGTAGCATAATCCCTGTACTGGGGAGACTGAGGTAGGTGGATCACTGAAAGTTTGAGGCCAGCCTGGGGTACATCATGAGTCCAAGGCCATTTTGAACTACATAGAGATCCTGCTTCAAAAACCAAACCAAACCAAACCAAAAAGATTGTAAGAGCTGCAGGCACCTCATAGGGCTGGGTCTTCTAAGATTATCAAAGAATCCCACAGATGAGGCTGGGGGTGTAGCTAGTGGTAAAGGACTTACCAGCACATGCGTGTGCGCATGCGCGCACACCCTTACAGCTGGGCAGCCTGTAACCCCAGCACTTGGGAGGCTGAGGCTGGAGGGTTGCTAAGCTCAAGGACAGCCTGAAATATAGTGAGACCCTGTATCAAAAAACAAAAACAAAAAAACCTAAACTGAACTTAAATGGAGAAAGAATATACAATTCAAGACACTACTATGACATTCATGCAGCTGGGGAGATAAAACCCAGAAAATCTTCAATACATGGTGCTGCTGTTACTAGCTACAGAATTTTATAGACTGGTCACTTAACTTCTCCAAGATTTGGTTTCCTCACCTATAAGATACATTGGAGGACGTGAGGATTAAGAGACCACGTACATAAAGCAACTCTCCTATTACTGGCATGTAACAGCTGCTGCTCAAGCAACTGCGGCCACCATCATCAGTGCCACAACCTGGAGGCATGGCAAAGCGGTCTGAGAAGTTCTCAAAGGGACAGAGTAAGCAAGTGATCCCAGTGATCCCAGAACTGCTTGGAAGGAGCTCACGATCTGGTCACCATTTGCTCTCAAGTCAAATCTCAAGACTGTACGAGAGCAGACTAGAAGTCTAAGGCCAAAGCATCCTTTACTCAAGGGAGAAGATGCTGAGACCTGGATGTTTTTGTTGGTGGAGATAAAAATGACTGGTTAGCAATAGAGGAAAAGTGGCAATAGCCACCGAAACGAACAATTATGACCCTCAGACCAAGCAAGTTCCTTTGCAGTGGCGGCAAGCAGAAACACCAAAATGACACCCAGGATTTGGAGCAGATTTATTTCATGATGACAGGCACTGATTGGGATCATTCCTAAAATATCAGGCCTCAAAGGCCCAGAGAGGGAAGTTTTTATGGGGTTGCACACCGGAGATACAGAGGTAGAGTACTTGGTTATCTTTGATTGGTTCTTATAATATGCATTATAGTGACCAGCTGTTTCTAAGAAACAGAAGAAAAACTGCAACAGGAACTGTTACCTGGGCAACTGAAGCACACTAGCTGGGTGGGGGCATTTTCTGCTACACTTTCCTACTCACCCTGCAGTTATACCTGTGCACACAGTGGCCCACAGTGTATGACAGAAGATGACACAGGGAAGTATTCTGTGACAATGAAAGCCTAAACCCCAGCAAGCAGGCCACTGGTTCAGGAAACCCTACTGCTCTAGTGTCAAGCGTGGTGTGGCAGCTCATGCCTATAATCCCAGCACTAGCAGAATCTGAGACAGAAGGATTACAAATGAGCCCAGCCTAGGCAATTTAGTGAGATCATGTCTCAAAAAAATAAAGTGCTGGGGATGTAGCTTAGTTTGAAGATCCTGGGTTCAATCCCCAGTACAACAACAAACACACAAAGGAAAATATATCCCAGCTCAACAGCTGGATACTACAAAGTGGTAGAAAAGAAGACATTATCCACTCTCAGGAAATGGCACCCAAAAGATAACGGAAAGTAAAAAAGACATGGACAGCGTAGTGTTCATGTATCCTATACTGCCTTTTTTGTCTTTCTGAGACAGGGTTTCACTATGCAGTTCAAGTTGGCCTTGAACTTACTCTGTAGCCCAGGATCATCTCGAACTCACAGTGATTCTTGCCTGAGCCTCCTGAATGCTGGGATTACAGGTGTGTACCACCATGCCCAGCTACTGCCTTTTAAAATGGCTCCTTTCCTATTTTGTTCTATGACTTTTTTTTTTTTTTTTTTTAAATACCAGGAATCGAACTCAACATCTTGCATTTGCCAGGCAGGCACTGTGCCACTGAGCTGTATGTGCCCCCTATCCCAAAGCAAGGTTTCACTGAGTCACCCACACTAGGTTCAAACTTGTGCTCCTCCTGTCTCAGCCTCTGGGAGTGATGGGATAACAGTCCTGCGCCGTCACACCAATTTTGTTTTCTTGAGACAGGGTCCTGCTATGTAATTCAATATGTAGTCCAGGCTGTCCTTAACTTGTAGCAATGCTCGTGCCTCAGCCCCTTAAGTGCTAGGATTACAGGTGTGTGCCACCAAATCCAGCCTGTCTTGAATTTTGAACCATGTGAATGTAAGTATTTTTTATATACTGTCAAAACCACCTGCACCTCTTATTTTTCATACACTCTCATCCCAGGAGACAGGCAGTGGGCTCAGGGCTCAGGGCTGGCAGAATGCTGGGTCTCCCTGAAGGGTCTCCCCAAATCAAGGCAAAACCTGGACACTGATGTTTATCTGTCCAGGTTAAGCTCCGAGAAATACTCACACCAACCTGACAAAGTCATCAGGAAGCAGGTCAGGACTCACACCCAGGGAGTCAAGCACATCATTTCGAATGTGAAGCAGCAGCTCTGCATCTTCCCCGTAGGTATCAGAACTAGGATCTCTTCCTTTATCTGTGCGGAATTTCAGGAGCACTGGGAACAGGGAGGGAAGGGAGATTATAAAGCCGGTTTTGTTATAACGAATGCTTATAGATACCAGTAACGTATTTCTCCCCCTCTTTTTTTCTTTTTTTTTGGTACTACGAATTGAACTCAGGACCTTGTGCTTGTCAGGCAGGCTCTGTGCCACTAAGCTATATCCCCAGCCCCTCTTTCTTTCTTTTTGAGACAAGGTCTTAGTATGTAGTTTAGACTGGCCTCTATCTCAACATGATCCTCCTGCCTCAGCCTCCTGAGTGCTGGGATTACAGGCATGCACCATCATGCTCAGCTAACATCCTTCTTTTTTGTTTTGTTTTCCGGTACTGGGAATCGAACTCATGACCTTGTGCTTTCCAAGCAGGCACTGTGCCGCGGAGCTAAATCCCCAGCCCATCTTTCTTTTTTATAGGAAGTAGTACATTAATTAAAATGTGGGACAAATGAAAAACTAATGCACTTCATTTATCTAATAAATATAGTCAGAGAAACAACCAAATAATTACAAAATCAAACTTGCTGTGACAGTATGATGAAGGTCTGACCATCTATAGGGTGGTGTCAGGTAAGGCTTCCCTGAGGATGCCTCAACAAATAAATTGTGTGTGTGGGGGAGGGGGGAGGGGTGTGTGTGTGTGGGAGGGGGAGGAAGGGAGGGAGAGGACAGAGGCCAGACGCCAGACAATGGTCCCAAGGATAGGTCAGGAGCGGGAGGCATGCATTCTAGGCATCAGTTCAAAGAGTTGCTTCAGCCAGAAAAGCTGGCCAAATTCTTAGACTCAGGTCATTAAAAGACCCTGTCAACGTAGAAATGGACATTTAATTTTGGCTGTGAATCAGGTAAGAGGTTCTGATGATCTTTAAGAATTATGTGTAAGGAGACCCCCCAAAATACTAAAGTTTTTAGTCCAAACAAAAAACCCCACAGAAACATGGTATGATTGAGTAGGATACAAGCACATTCTCCTGCCACTGCACCTTGTTCTTGGCAATAGAGGAAAAGTGGCAATACCCACCCACCCAGTCAGTCAGTCATTCAGTCAATCAATCATAACCTTCCGGCCCAGCAACTCCCCTCCCACTCACTCAATGCAGTTATACCCGAACACACAGTGGCCCCCAGCATAAGACACAAGACGACACACCACAGTGTTCTGTGTCAACGAAAGCTCCCTGTTTTGGAGCAAGCCTGGTCCCAAGTGGCCAGGCATTGTTCCCTCTGTGCTTCCCAAGGCAGAGGGACAGCTGGCCTTGAGTCTAGTCCCTTGGGGTGAGGCCACTTCTCCTATATCACAGGCTATCTGAGAACGAGACATGTGGATCATCATCAAGGCCCAAGCCCTGGGTGCTCCAGGATAGCACTTCGAACTATGGTTGCCAAGTACTTTCATTTAAGTCTCATTAGCAGCTGCTGATGGAGAAAGAAAAATTACTCAGCAAATTATACAATTAGTACAGGTTTCTTCCTTAAAAATTAAGGTAGGCTGAAAACTCAAGCAATCTGAAGTTACTGTGTGGATTTGTAAAAATCCAAGCATTTGGAAGGCTGAGGCAGGAGGATGGCTGCAAGTTTGAGGCCAGACTGAATTACAGAGCTCAAAAACAAAAACCAAAAACCAACCAACCAATCAGGTGGCTCCTACTCATAAAAAGTTTCAGCAATGAGTGGCCAGGGTTGACAAATGCTCTGCAAGAGGCTTGAATCCATTATTCACCCAGTCAGTCTCACTGCGTGTTCATGCGGCAGGCAGACCTAAGTACAGAAGTACAGCGATGAGACAGGCGGCGCTCTCGCACCTGAGCGTGACGGTCAGTGAAACGAACCATGCCAGAGAACTCAAGAAGCACGTGTGAAACCACACAGGTCTTGGTAAAAGCCACAACCTGCTCCCGGGTTGTATTTTTCTTAGTGCCAACGCTGGAGAAAAGCCCCAGGTCTGTGACTTCCCTGGTGCGTTCTCATGTCCAGTACAGGGTTCTGCACCCCCAGCACTCCAGTATACCTGTTCATTTTGAACCCCATTTGTTGTCTGGGAACCCTTCTCTTTTTCAGAGACACAACTTGTGGAGCCCGCCTGTTACCTGACCACCTGGCAAATAACTCAAACTGGACAACAATGTGGGTGCTTCCTAACCCCGATGTGTCACCACCTAAACTTAACTTGTAATTTGTAGCTGTGTTGCTAATATCCCACTCTGGAGGACATAAACTCCGGCAAGCACCCTAGGGCTGACAGGGAAAGACTGGAAGCGGCAGACGCTCCCTGTTTTTGGAGCAAGCCTCTTTCCCTAGAATGTCCCATGGAAACAATGAAATCTGGAAATCTGCTTTAGTCCGCCAAGGCACAGGATGCTTCATTTGGACTGCATGGATTCTCAGCAATTATTTCTGTCTGACTCAAGAGGAAAGAGGAATATGACTTCAGCAGGAGAACAGGTACCAGAGCTGCTGGGTTGAGGGACAGTAGCAGAAAAGCTACACCATCAGGTCCTCCATGACCCTCTCATTTCTGCATCACAGGGACAGAAACAACTGCCACAAGGGACCGGGGAATACAGGTAATTTTTTTTAGTCTTTCAACAAAACTTTTCGTCCTTTGGTTAGAAAATACAGCTCTGGCCAGGCATGGTGGCGCATGCCTATAATCCTAGCACTGGGAGGCTGAGGCAGGAGGATCACTGCGAGTTTGAGACCAGCCTAGGCTAAAAGTGAGTTGAAGACCAGCCTGAACTGCAGAGCGAAACTCTGTCTCAAAGAGACCAAAAAAAAAA